CGCTCAGCCAGTGAGCGGGAGCCGGTCTGCACGTGGGATCCGAACCCTCGGACGGGAGCACCACCGCGCTTCCCAAGCGGCACACTATCCAGTGCGCCACCGGGCCGGCCCATTATTATTACCATTTTAATGCTCATCTTAAATACAAAGAGAGGGAGGGCACACAGGCAGGCACGCCAGGCGCCGCTGCTGCTTACTGAGCTCCCTCCGCCCATCCTCACCTTCATGGCCAGTACCCTGGAGGCAACCTGGGAGGAACCCAGGCGACGCAGGAAGTAGTCCAGCACCTCGCATGTGGTCTGCTCGTCGGCCTTTGGGCCCAGCAGCAGGTCTTGCAGGCGGCCCAGCAGCTGCCGCTGCTTCTGCTGTCTCTGCAGGGATGAGGGGAGCCTCTGAGGGAGGGCATGAGACCCCAGCCGGGGGTGGGGGTGCCGGGCGGGATGGAGAGGGGCCCTGACCTGCCGCTTCTTGGCCTTCTGCTCTCGGCTTTCGCCCTCCTCCTCCTCCTCCCCGGAGGCCGTGTCATCGGCAGCATCGTGCAGCAGAAACTCACACAGGCACTGCACGGGCAGCACATCCAGGGAGCCCTCGCTGGACTGCACCAGGTCGGCCAGCCAGGGCATGGACTGCGAGGAGGCCTGGTGGATGACAGCGGTGCCAACACTCAGTGCTTCTAGGCTCAAACCTGCCGTCTTCCTCCTGCCCCGACCCCTGCTACCCACCTATCCCCATACTCTTGAAGGAACCCCCCCCCCATGTCACAGGCAGAGACTTGCACAGTCACTGCCACATTCCTGAGCCGAAGGACGTGTTGTGTATACGTCATGAAGCCAATGCACCCAGGTGTGCTCTGCCCTCTCCTGGCTACCATGTTTCTAATGCCAAAGCCCGCTGAAGCCTCTGGAACACACCAAGCCCGCTGCCCAGATCTCCATCTCTCTCTCTCTCTCTCTCTCTCTCTCTCTCTCTGGAGCCCCAAGGCAGAACTCACCTGCCTCTGGATGATGTTGAGGAGGAAGTCGGGGTTGCGGCTCCGACACAGGAGGTGGCCGAGGCGGAGGGACTGGTTGAGGCATTTCACTTGATCCAGAATGTGAGGGGGAGGCCTCCGGGGGGGCCCTCTGTAGGTCACAGAGGACACGGTGAGTCAGAATATCCCCCAGAGCAACAGCAACGGTGAGAGCAGGGGAGCTGCTGCCTCCCCGCCTAAAAGCAACAGTGCCCCTCCTGCCCTGCTCCTGAGCGGCAGCCAGGAAGACTGCTACTCACCACAGGTCCTTGACCTCAGCTGCACCTGGGCTCAGACTCCAGAGAGCTAAGCTGGTGACATGGGGACTGGTTCCTCTAGGCTCCATTCCACCCACGCCAATCCCCCACCAGTCCAGACTCAGCACCTGCCCTAGGCTTCAGGGTCGTGGGTGCACCACCCCATGTTTCCATCCCTGCAGGGTCAGGGGTGGGTGGAGTGCTTACTGGGGGTCCAAGCTAGTGAGCTGAGACAGGAGGAGGCTGCTGCTCTCAGTGATGGTCTGCTTGGTGGAGGCGGCAGCCAGATGTCCCTCAAATGCCAGGATCTCCTGCTTCTCCCGCTGGGAGATCTGCAGCTCCCGATTAATCATCTCTGTCCGGGTCTCCTCATCCGTCAGGGTGCATGGGGGGTACGAATAATTACTGGGACAAAACAGGGAGGGACCTATTACCTGCCCCCGTCAAATGCTCGCTCCCATCAGATGGCGCTCACCGTCAAGGACAGCCAAAATTCACAGTGATGCTGCTGCTCAGTGCATGGCCTGAGCTGTCAGGAGTGCTGGGCGCCCCAGTGGGGTCATCAGCAGTGCTCTCAAAGCTGAAAGACCTCAGCGAGAAGCTCAGCATTCTTTAAAGAACCCAGCCCCAGCTATTTACTCTTCTTCCATACAACAGCACCGTAACCTCTCCAGAATCAAGCCGAACTGGTGCCAGAATCCCATAGCTTCTTTCTAGGACACTTACTCTTCCACACCATGCCACGGCAGAATCCCTGTTTATTACAAAGGACCCAAATAGGCCTTTACCTGCACTGGGGGATTTCCAGGGGCAGGGAATCAATGCTTCCAGAAGCACACATGGCTATCTGGAGGAGCTAATGGTGCATCTGCCTTCACATATTCCAAAATCTGTCTTCCTGTAGAATCCCTCATCTGAGTTCTGCCCCTAAGGCCCCACAAAGTCGGTCTGCTCCTTTAGCCACCTGACAGCTCTTCAGAGGTATGAAGGAAACAGTGTGTCTCCCAGCCACACACATGCCCAGTCCCCACAATGCCACGGCCTCAGGCTCCGTTCCATCTTGACGACTGCCCTGTGTGTGGTGCTCTCGCTGGCTAGGCTGAGCACCAGTGCTGTAGGAACACAGCTTGCAGTAAGCTGTGGTTGTAACAGCCCCAGCTTCTCCTCTTCAGGCTGTGCTCGGTCCAATGCCATGCCTGTATGGAACTGTACTGGTGCAGTTCACCTGTTGCTGATCCCACCGGGTCACATCTGGACCTGTTAAAACCTACTTTGTCTCCTTGGTCCCTTGTCTCCATCTGTCTCACCCATCTCTGACTCCTGATTCTTCTGCTACATTCCTCTTATTGTCAAACCATCCATCAGTCTGTCCCCACTGCTGTCAGCAGTACAAGTGCTGCCCAGGACGGTCCCTTATCAGGCCCTGCAGATCTCCCTACAGGCTTCCATGGCACTGCCTCAATCCACATTTCTTCTCCCAGCCCCAGCAAGGGAAAGAGAAGAGACTAAAGTGCAATAGACTCAGATTCAGAAAACCAAGTCCACAAGTAACCAAACACCAGGGATGCAGCACGCCTGGGAAGATGGAGGGAGTGCTCAGAATGAGTCAGGAGACAGGGCATGAGCCTCGCTCAAATTCCCAGCAGAATGGAGACCGGCCCTGCTCCTCTCTGGGTATGCCCCCTTGCCTCCAGGTGGGGAAGGGCCCCCCTGGTCCTACCATGTAAGAGACAACCAGACTTACTTGGTCATCACCATTTCCATGAGCATCTTCAGGGTGGGGTACTCCTCCCAGGCGGCCAGGCCTAGAGAGCAAGGAGAAAGTGGGAGCTGGGCCTGGACCAGAGCAACCGGGCAGCCAGCTCCCTGCACGCGGCGTGGGACCCCACCCTCTTCCCAGCTCTTCTTCAAGTCCCCGGCCAGCTCGAGCCCAAATTCTGAAAAACAAGCTGCCCAAGGGAAGAATTATCAACACACAGCCATGACACCTATGAGCTGGCCACAGAAGGCTCACCGATGTTCTCAGGGTTGAACGCAGCAACGACCAGCAGGAGGGGCCACGCCTTCCAGTAGAGGGTTGAGATGGCAAGGTTTGGAGGCTGATACCTGAAAGGCAAGGACAAGGACAATGCTGCCTCAGCCATGCTGAGCTCAGAGCCAAGAATGAGTGTGGGCCAGGGAGGCAACAGCATGGGTAGATGACACAGTGACTGGCCAACTTGGTGATTAAAAAATCTGCAAAGGACTTGACTAGACATTTCTACAAAGAAGACATGCAAATGGAGAAGAAGCACATAAAAAGATATGCAATATCACCAGTGATTAGAAAAATGCAAATCAAGGGCCGAGCCCGTGGCGCACTTGGGAGAGTGTGGAGCTGGGAGTGCAGCAGCACTCCCGCCGCGGGTTCGGATCCTATATAGGGATGACCGGTGCACTCACTGGCTGAGCGCGGTGCAGCCGGTCTCAAAAAAAAAAGAAAAATGCAAATCAAATCCAAAATGATGCCACCTCACACCCATCACAATGGATAAAATAAGAAATATAAGTATTGGTGAGGACGCGGCAGAACCAGACCCCACATCAGAGCTGGTGGGAACATAAAATGGTGCAGCCACTGCAGAAAAGTCTGGCAGCTCCTCAAAAAGTTAAACAGATGATCCAGCAATTCCAATCCTAGGTGTCTACTCAAAAGAACAGAAAACATATGTACACAGAAAAACTGGTACACTAATGTTCACAGCAGCATTAGCCACAAAAGCCAAACACAGTGGACCTAACCCAAATGTCCATCACCTGAAGAATGGATAAGTAAAATGTGGTGTATCCATATAATGGACTGTTATTCAGCCACTAAAAGGAATTAAATATTAATCAATACATGATACAACATGCATGAACCTTGAAAACATTATGCTAAGTAAAGGAAGCCAGTCACCAAAGACCACACACTGTATGGTTTCATTTATATAAAATATCCAAATGTCCAAAAAAGGCAAATACAGAGAGATGAGAGATTAGTGATTGCTGAGGGCTGGGGGGGCGGGGGGGG